ACTTAAACTTGGCAAAGTTTCAGCGATTAGGCTTCAAAGAAACGGAGCAATGGATCAGAACCAACTTTAAAGCGTTTTTCAACTTTAAACAGCCGATTGAAATTCCCTATGAAGACGAGCTTCATTTCTGGGTCACGTGACTGAATCTACCAATGACAGAACAGCAACGGGGGTGGGTTTTACGACCTGACATCAGAGGAAGTGACGACAGACACGTCTCTCAGCAAATCAGGACGTTTCAAACAACGGTTTTCGACCAATCGCCGCTCGCTATTTCAGCTAGCGTGTTAGCATTTAGCCTGAACATTCCGGTCAATTTTCATCTTTAAAACTTTCAAAATGCACTATTTTCTGTTAAAAATGTAACTAATCAACTCTCAAACGCTTACTGGGACTTCGCCCGTTCAAAACAACAGTTTCTTTCTTCAAACACGACTCGTTCGAACCGAATCAGAACCGAGCCGGACCAGAACCCACGTCTGGATCACAGTTTAAACAGAATAAAGCGTTTTAACACAAACCCAGCTTCAGTTACACAACAGTTGTACAAATTCAGCTTTCAAACGAACACATTGACTTTATTTTCAGCTTTCAAAACACCACAGCGACAGACATTGCTGTATTTTCTCTGAGCACCGCAGCTGCAACAACGCTGCGTTTCACACAGCAACAATCTTCACTTTTAATGCCAACATGATAAATTCAATTGTTACACGAATAACAGTCCATTTATGATACCGTACGAGGCCACCAGTTGTAGAGGAACATATATCTGTGATATATTATCCATAAATTAAACGGATTCATTCATTTTTCTGGACTGAATAATATCGTGCATTGAAATTAAATGTGACGTGAGGTGTTAATTTTCTTTGACCCATCAAATGAATGCGGTCATTTATTAACAGAATCAAAGTTTAACATCACACATTTACATTAATTTGGCAAAATTGATTACAACAACAGCTTAATTAATTAGCTTTACAGTCAGGAAAACCATACGGCCATGATTTTCTGGGTTCAAGCTTTACAACAGACATTTCTGAAAATATCTGGATTAATTACTGGCAGGTAGAAGAGTTTTAAAGATGGGAAATGAAGGGAGTTTAAATGGAGAGAGATGGGTGAAGATGTATGTATCTGTATAAGATGTAGGTCTGTAGCCCAGAACGACAACACGCTCCTTTTGGATGCAGCTTAACCCACGGTACACTTTGGTTGAGATCGACTCTTTACCTTTGCACATGATAGTTTCGGCGTTGGTGTAAAGTTTTCCTTTCAACTCTTCCAGCGTCTCCGTAAGACAGCTAAACCTCAGGAGTCGTGAGATCATCCCAGAACAGACTTCTTCATAGTTCCTCTGAACTTCTCTCGTTCAGCTTAGTTGCAGTTGTTCTCCAGCATTCTGCATTCCAGCATTCTGAACTCTGCTGCTCTCGGAACTAACTCACAACATTCTCTGCTGAACTAGGAAGTGTTAAACCTTTTAAAGAGGTCACTTCCGGTTCATTTGAGAACTTCTTGATTGGTCGATTGACCGAACAGGGGTGTGTTTTAGTGAGGTAAGAGGTTATTAAAAGTCAAGGGAAAAAGATTAGATTGTTTAAGAACAGACAGAAGATGTTATGAAGAATCCGTGACTTCGTGGAGTCAGTTCTCCCATATCTTTCTGTAAAAGTTAAACATGACATTTCTTTTCCAGTAAACTTGCAGTTGACCGAAACTTGACCTTTGACCAACTTACACTTGCTCATTTCAGACAGAAGATCAAGAAAAATGAATAATTACTCTGTAACAGACCTTAACTTGATTTCTACTTTGAATGAGGATTAAAAATCCATTAATACTGTTTCACAGTTGATTTAAAAGGAGTAGTTCACTTCAACATTTAAAATGGTTTGAACTAACACACTTTGATTATCAAGACATTTGTAAGATAGTAATGATAATAGAAAAAGAGAGTGTTCTTTCAATTGATCAGTGCAGGACACTTAGAAAGTCTCTGGATGGACTTGATTTTGTGTTTCTGGACTCAAATCAATGAAATACAGTTCTTGTCCCAGGAAGGCCCTCAAGGTCAGGATTTGACCTGAGGCTTAGTTCACTACACAACTACATCAACATAAAACATCTGCAAATACAGGCCCAAAAGATGCAGGTATGTGAGTTTTTATGTTGACTGAAATTCCATACACATCTCTGCACTCATCCAGAATACAAATGTGAAAACATGGATCATTATTTTTTTTACAAAAGTTTCTAAGTCGTAAACTATTCATAAAACCTTTTACGTTTTCAGTGGTTTTGGCCACATTTTAAATGTACTCATCTTCTCCATTTGCTGTATTTGTGTGTGTGGGCATTAACGCACACTCATGGACTCTCAGTGCTTCCACACATCCCATTTATTTTCCTCTGTTTTAAAATATTTAATTGGACTTTTTGTATAAAAAGCCTAAAGTGCTTCATAAATAAATTTGCCTCAATTTGTCTTGACACAAGGTTTTAAGTAGCTGGTAGAAGCTGACAGACTAATAGACAAAACAAAGTGAGGATGAGCTAATTGCTTACTTTGTTTTTGCAAATCAATAATAACTCCCTGTCTGTGCCAGTTCTCTCTCTCCCACACCGCCTCTATCAGCCACTGCTGCTCCAATATCTGCATCTGTCTCAAGCAGTGGAACGTGTTTGCCCTAAATGTTGACTTTATTACACGTTTCGCCGTCTTATTAACGCCGCCACAACCTCACTCTTAACTGAAGTCAGTTTCTTTTCCACTTGACTTAGCGTATTTAGAGTCTCGGTAATGAATCATTTCTGTGTGGCCTCTCTGATAGAGGGAGAAGCAAGCGTGTAGATTTTTAACATGTGTTCACTTTGAAAATAATAGCGTTTTTTTGCATTTTGCATAATTTGAATATATTTTCTGGCTCGAGATTTTGTTGAAAGTCAAGTTAATTGCCTCTTTTTTGTCTCTCTTTCATGAGTGAGGGGTAGAATAAATGTGTGTGTGTGTGTGTGTGTGTGTGTGTGTGTGTGTGTGTGTGTGT